TCTATCACACACGCTCAGGACATCAGTTCTGACGGATCGCTTCCCAAATCGTCACTATCTAACATTTTCGTCTAGTTTTTATTCGTTGACGAAAATGTCATTAGATTTTCGTCATAGTCTTTGTCATTCAAAACTAGGTTTTATTTAGTTATCGTCTCGTTTTCGTCTGTGAAAAAATGTCGTTGACGAATAATTTTCGTCGTTATTTTCGTCAACGAAATTAACACTGGTCTGTTCCACCGCTGCTCCCAAAAGGAAGTGGAGAAAGCGGTACCCACACTTCAAAGAAAGAGGAAGTTCCTCTTTTCTTGGGTCCCAAGAGGGCAAGTCTCTCGGTGTGCGACCCTGTAAAGCCTTGCACCCCTCAGTCTCCTCTTGTTCGCCAGCACGGCAGCTGGGTGCGGTTCGAGGACACGGTCATCCGCCTTCTCACGCATTCCTGGCCGTCTCGTTGGCCTGCAGCGTTCGACCTGAAGGACAGTACTTCAGATCTCTATCCTTCCGCTCCACAGACCATTCTGTGTTCTTGCGTCGAGGGTACGAAGTATCAGTACAAGTCCTACTCTTCGAGTGCTCCATAGCCAGTTGGGTCTTCAGGTCAACTGGGCGAGAGTATCTCTTTTTCAGTTCAGGAGAAGGACTCGGTCCAACACGTCTCTTCAAGAAGAGTGTGTTAGGCTAGTGCTAGAAGTGAGAAAAAAATTCAGAGGCTCCTGGGGCATATGGCAGTCGCAGCCGCTTGGCTTCCTCCATATGAAGACCGCTTCAGCACTAGTTTTATGATCGAGTCCCGAGGTGACCGTGGCAGAGCGGCACGCCCTGTGTGATAAAAGATCACCCCGGCCTGCCGCCAAACTCTCAGCCCGTGTTTTCAGACCTTCAGGTCCACTAACACCGACTGAGGGGCCATGTACAAAGGGCATGCTTTAACGGAGGCCTGGGCGACCTCCGACTGCATTGGTATTCGTTACCTCGAGTTGGCAGTTCACCTCGCTTTGAGCCACCACTGCTCAGCGAGCTGGTACTGGTCTGAAAAGACAACATCGCGACCGCTGCGCTAAGCTTCCCTCGCATGTCACAACTCGCCCGTTAAAGCTTTTGAGGTCGCTTCATTCCACTATAAAATTCTTCTGGCCTGCTCAATCGTGCCACCAACGAGCCTCACGACAGCTATGGACAGCTATGTGGAGACTCCATCCCCTGGCGGTCCAGCTGGGCAGGGACCACTTCGGGGCCGCACAGTTACATCTGTTGCCTCTCCGGACTCGTCCCTCTGCCAGTTGTGTTTCTGTCTGAGCGGACATCCCTTGAACAGACACTGGCTCTCAGCTGACCCCGGGGCCCCGCAGAAATGCGTTCCCCAGTGAGCCTTCTAAGAAAGCGGCTATGCGATTCATTATCGCTTGGGGCTGCTCAAGTTCAGTGATTTTCATCACATTCAGGTGTTGAGCAGAAATGCCCCTGAAGCTCAGTAAATTTCATCACGCTCAGGTGTTGAGCAGAAATGCTCCTGAAGCTCAGTGAATTATCACACTTAGGTGTTGAGCAGAGTTGCTCCTGAGCTCAGTGAACTTATCACACTCAAGTGTTGAGCAGAGACTCTCTTGAAGCTCAGTGATCTTCACATCTAGTGTTGAGCAGTGCTCCTGTCTTGTGCGCGCATGTCGCTTGCACCTACTGTGCTAAGTCAGGAGTGGAACAGGTCTTGATAGTTGCCCCTTATTGGCCCAACCAGATCTAGTTCCCTCGACAGCCTTCCTGACTTCCCCTGGGTACATTTCAGGGACAGGGCATGATGGCACCTACATTAAAAAAAAACTGGACGGGGAGGTTCAGGTGGCTACCACAAGGATATGTGGTAGTGACCATCACTTCTGCAAGCACCCCCTTAACATAAGGCAGTTGTTCTTTGCTAAGTTAGAAGTGGAACCTATTCGTTGAATGAGTCTTCTCTTCGTGAGGAGATCCTGAGAGCGTTCGGTCATTTCAGTGCTCTCTTTCCTGCAAGTTGGGTTGGAGTAGGCTGTTCCTTCACCCTCAATATGATGACGAACATCTAATGCAGAATCTTGGGAAGCACGTCCTGATCGTCAGGTTCCTGAGGGAGCAAGGGTCATCCCTGAGCCCCTCTTTATCCTCTTGGGCCTATCTCTGGTGCTACTGCACTGCAGAGACCGCCCCTGAGCCACTGCAGGCAGTGAGTTAAAAATTCTGTTTTTAAATATTCTCCTGCTCGCATGGTCTCTACTAGAGGGCAGGGACTTGCCCGCTTTCGGTCAACGACTTGTGCCTGGAATTCGGGCTGGCTAACTCTTACTAGCTGAGACCCTGGCCTGGATATGTGCCCAAGGTTCCTACCTCTCCCTTAAACTGGGACCAGGTGGTGAGCCTGCAAGCGCTGCGTGGAGGAGGCAGACCCAGCCCTGGCTTTCTCTGTCCGTCCGCTTCATTGCGGTTTTACATGCACAGAACGCAAGCCTTAGGACCTCAGACCAGCTCTTATCTGTTTAGGAAATTAGCAGAGAGGGAAGGCTGTTTCCAAGCAAGGTTGGCCTACTGAAATGTGGCTGCCTTCATCTTGGTGAAAATCCCGAGATGCACATGTCCACTTAAGTAGTGAGCTCCTCTTAAATGAGTGTGTGCTCCCGCTTAGGCGTTGACACAGAGTGCTTCGCTGACAGATATTCTAGAGTTGGGGGCTGGGCGACACCTTTGTCGAACCGCTGCTTCCCATGGGCTCCCTTCACATGAAGCCAGTTTCACTGTAAGCCCGGTTCGTTGTGTCGGCTTGCTGCACCATTCCCCTCCTATGGACTGGATACGTGCGCAATTCTTGCTCCAGTTGAGTTCCCCTTTTTTAGCCGAACCCTGTCGAGTTCCTCCATACCCTTCGGCAACGGACGTGGTGGAATGTCCGAAGCCAGGCCTATCACTCGTATGCACTGGTGGAACGGGGGTTGCACACGCAACCAGGACGTTCTTTGTCTTGTTTGTGTTAAAGTTTTGTTGATTGTGTATTGGCTTCTAGCTCTCTTTGTTTATTAAATCTTGGGTATATATTCATTCATTCGTTCAATCTTTATATAAACCAAACCCTGTCAGAACATTAGACCCCAAGATTGGATTAATACAGCATTATATGGATATAACCAGGCTGGCTTGGCTCACTCATTACCCTGACCACTAGCTTTATATAGTGCTATATAAATGTAATGAAATATTATTATTAGATTTTATACCACACTGGGCTTAGCGAGCAGTCGAAGGCACGCCTGCCTTTGAATGGCCCTTGAGGGAGTTTCACCCAGTTCGTGGAATCAGTGCTGGTATAAAACAACTCACCAATGACCATCTGCCTCACTGATGAGGACATTGTGAGCCCCACTCCAGACCCAGAGCCCAGCCAGCCGTCAGCCATGCCCGCTGTGAAAAAGCCAGAGCCCACCGCTGATTTGGAGCCTGAGTCCGCCACAAAATCATCTGAGCCAGAGGAATCGCTAGAGGCTATTTTTGTCCCGGAGCCTGAGCCCAATGCAGAGTCTGGCCAGGTAAGTGAGCCGGCACCAGTGTCCGTCATTGAGGGCATTTTAGTGGAGTTCGAGGGTATGGATTGGAGCCCCGCCCACACTTCTGCCACTGAGGTACAGAAACTGAGCTGGGTTGTTGAGGATATATTGTATGATGAGCTGGAATAGGAGGTGATTGCTGTACTGCAGTCACCACTGCTCCCATACAGTTCCAAGTCGTCCAAGTCGTTGCTGGTTAAGCCCAGCTCCAAGTCGTCATTGGTTAAGCCCAGCTCCAAGTCGTCACTGGTTAAGCCCAGCTCCAAGTCGTCACTGGTTAAGCCCAGCTCCAAGTCGTCACTGGTTAAGCCCAGTCGTCACTGGTTAAGCCCAGCTCCAAGTCGTCACTGGTTAAGCCCAGCTCCAAGTCGTCACTGGTTAAGCCCAGCTCCAAGTCGTCACTGGTTAAGCCCAGCTATAAGTCTTGATCGTCCAGCACCAAGTCTCCTGTGTTGTGGATGGTCCCGCCCAGCCTCCCTCTCCCTCCTCCTCACCTCTTCTGTCTCCCTTCAGCCCCTCGGCTCCTCCAGTGGTTCCGCTATGCTGCACAGATCTGCCAGAGGCTTCCCAGTCATCAATTTCACCTCAAGCCACCAAGCCCTGGACTCCACCTTGGCCCTCCGTACCATCTGCTACACCATGGACTGCCATCACTTAGGCTCTGCTGGGCTCCCTAGTCCCTATGGGGCTCCATCTTAGTCCATCGTCACTCTGGCTCCGCCTCCACCTTCCAAGTCAGCATCTTCGCCTCAACTCTCCACTCCTCTGGGTCTGCCGGGCTCCTCTTTTCCTCTGGTCTATCCATTGTCCCCACTCGCTCGACCCCTCTGGCTTTATCTTCCTGGTTACACCGGGGACCTTCCTGTCAAGGCTCTGGGTTATCCTCCTGCTCCTCCCGTCTCTGCTCTGGTTCCCCTGTCTCTGCCCTAGCTCCCCCCACACTCATCTCCTCCCTGGTCATCATCTCCTTGGTGTCTTCCTCTGCCTACTCCTCGTCCTTCTCTGGAGCCCTGCCCTCCTTCCCTCCTCAGTTTGGACTGTGTTTTTGCAACGTGAAAAGTCTTTAAAAAAAAAGAAGTCTCTTGTCCTCACCAAGGCTGCATTTATTTGATTAAAAGTACAGTAAAAACAGTAATATTGTGAAATATGAATACAATTTAAAATAACTGTTTTCTATTTTAATATATTTTAATATATAGTTTATTCCTGTGATGTCAAAGCTGAATTTTTAGTCTGATTTGTTGCTCAAGAAATATTTCTTATTATTCTCAGTGTTGTCTGAGTTCATATTGAAATCTGATTGCAAAAGACTTAATCAAAGTCTCCATTTTCTCTCCATTTAATTCCATTGCTGTCTTGAAGGAACAACTGTGATGTAACTGTATAGAGATCACATTTATGATTTTTTTTTTCTTCGTTCCTGTTGGTTTACAGCATACTCAGAGGAGGATGAATCGTGTAGCAGAGTCTTATCTGGAACCTCCAGTGTAACTCTGGAGCAGCCCAGAATGGAGCACAGCAGCATCAGCCTTCACAACCATCTGCACAATAACAAGCTCAATCAGACAAGGTGAGGATCAGCAATCTTTTATGACTCTTTTGTGAACAAAGTGATACCCATGTTTTTGAGTGCACTATGTTGCATTGTGATGATAGTGAACATTTCGGTGGCAAATATTATTCGGCCACCCCATAATGGCATCCTAGTAATGCCACTGCCTCAGAACATAATATACATTTTAGCAAACATTAAGCATGGAATCCAGTTTGCTTCTCTGATACATATGGGGACAATTTTACTTGAGTCTAATTGGCTATTTGTCACTGACTGAAAGACTCCATCTGCTGTGCATATATATGCGTCAACCACAGCAGTTAGCAACATGTGCTTATAATGTGAAACATTAAAAAAGCACAGCCGATGAGATGGGAGCAAATCATCTCTGCCCTGAGAACGAAGACATTATGATGTGTGGCAACACATGTTTCTTCAGTAGAAAAATATGATCATTATGCTTTCGCATGGGTCTTTTTACAACACAGTTAACCCATGACCTTTTCTCTCAATATTACTGTTGTGCTGTCACGCAAATATGTGCCGGGTGCCGATTGTGAAGGGATTTGATCTAATCTGGATGTCTTGCATTAAGATCTTTATACAATCATATGGACAATTCAGAGATCACAGGGATTTTTTTGTAATTTTGGTCACTGTTGTGGTCACTATATGTCTTGCATGCATAAATTTTGGTTCTTAGAAAAGGCTTTAATAATTCTTCTCGTCATTTCATTTTTCTTTATTGTTGTTTTAAAAAAAGCATATTGTTATGTTGTCACTCACCACAAACAGGCTGTGTTTGTTTCTGAACGTTTGCTTATCCAGACGTGTCCGGAAAGGGAACACATGCCATGACTTGCTGTATGTAAACAACAATCACTCCTGAGGTGATGTGACAAAAACACTGTGCAACAAACTCTGTGTCTGTAAACAGGAAATGTGTTTTATCAAATAACAAAACATATCAGCAGAACCTACACTTCCTGCACACTATTTGTTGCTGGCTAACCTACCATTGACTATGTGACAGAAACATTGAAGGCTTGGGTTTGTGATCCCAAGAAAGCAAATTTTAAATTAAATTATATTAAACATTTTATAACTAAATCATCTTTTCTAACTCCCGTCATTAGAATCTGATCCCATTGCAAAATGTGTTTCGTTTGACAAAAAAATAAGCATTTAGGAGACTTTGCTTACTGAGTATTGTTGTTATTTCAAAACCCTGTTATGAAATGTGAGATTTTGAGTGACTTGTGGTTGATTTTTGTGTGTATGTTTGTTGATGGACTTTCTTTTAAAACATGTATCAGAAAAGATTCTATCATTTAGAGTTCCTCTGGATATTTGTTCTTTCATCAGTTATTAGCCATTAGATCTTCCTGCCAAACAGATAATTCAGTTTGATTTATGTTTGCATTAAAATATATGGGTTGGTGAAATACTCTGAAGATGACATGTCCTGCAGTTTGACCAGCTTTACTTCATCTAAAACTATTTGAGCATTTTCCACATGATTTTATAATTGATATGCATGCAGTTTTATGACCTCATATCACACTTTTTGTAAATGCATACATCACTTCACACCACCATTTAAAATGAACTACTAAAAAGTAGGTTAAAAAAGTGATTAAAATTGTGGAAAAACTTTCACAACTTCTAAAATATACACTTTTCCTTCTATAATACCATCGAACAGTTTAGAATTTTTTTTTTTTTTTTGAAGAAAGATACTTTTATTTATCAAAGATGCATGGAAATGATCAAAAGTGCAGTAATTAAATTGTTACAAAATATTTATATTCCAAATAAATGCTGTTCTCTTGAACTTTCAATTTCAAAAAATAAAATCACAGTTTCCACAAAATATTAGCCAGCACAACTGTTTTCAACATTGATAATGATAAGAAATTTTTCTTGAGCAGTAAACTGGTATATTATAATGATATGTAACATATAATATGGCATATAAGGATCATGTGACACTGAAAACTGGAGTGAAGGCTGCTGAAAATTCATCTTTGCTAACAGGAATGGCAATTTAAACACAATTCATATTTTTACTTTATTTCTAATCAAATAAATCCAGTCTTGGTGCTTTTAGAGCTCCTAGTAGTCAGAGCAATGTTTGATAATAGTAATCACTTTTATGTTTAAAAGGAGGACTGTTGGATCCATAAAATCTTTTCCAAGATGAAAGTTCCTGCCCTGTAAAGTTGAGTCATTTCATTAACTTATTTAATGACCTCCTCAAACATGACAGGATACGTTACCTAAAAGTCTTTAAGCAAGTCTTTCACTTCAGTGTGCTTGCTGAAAGTAACGCACTGTCAACTAAGAGGAGGATCAATGTGATGGGTAAATTGGGATTTTTAAACACTGCATGAAAGATTCCTCTCATTCCAGCCTAAGGGTGCGTACGGGCAGCTGGCTGTGATTAATGCATATAGAGAGGTTCACTGTAAAAATATAGCGAGTGGAACTGTTTTCTGAGTTTTGTGCTGACAGCCGCTCTATTGGGACTCTGCCCTCTGCTCCACACACATGAGCAGCGCTGCAGGGCAACCCCCTCCCCCTCCAAACACACACAGAGCACTTATCTTCCTCTTATACTCTGTGACAGGACACAGCACCACAGACCAGTAACATGATGGATGGATGGATGGATGGATGGATGGATGGATGGATGGATGGATGGACGTCTCATATTCTGTGTTCATTTGACCAAACCCTTTGAGCTGACAAGTTTTTAAAATCCAAATTTAATTAAGTTTAAGTTAGATACATTTTTTTTTCTAATATAGTGGTGGGTAAATTGAAGTTACATTCAAACCATATTCAGGAGCATCAAACTCAAATATTTGTGTATTAAAACAATCAAATTGAATTGAAATTTATTTTCCCTGAATTTTTTTTCTTTCTTAGACTTGTGGTCCTGTGCACAAAACTTTGTCAAACCATTAAATAAATTAAAGCAGTAAATAATAATGAATATTATTCAATTAATAAAATTGAGAAAATGAAATGTAATAACTTAAAATAATTTTTTTATAACAAAATAAAGATTACAAGATTACAAAATAAAATAAAAATGATTATACAGATGGTAAATATGATCAAAGATGGCTGTAAAAAATAAATCTGCATTGTTTTTGCTTTTGATCTGTTGTTAAAAAAACAATGCACAAAAATCTAATCTTTCATTGAAGTAAAATAATTGAAAAATGGGGGGAAAATCACATTATGAAATGTTTTTCTCCAAAAACAGGTTGGCCACAATTATTGGCACCCCTAAAACAAATTATGAGTAAAATAACTAAGAAGTATATTCCGATTAATATTTACTTTTGTTTAGCATACCAGGGTGATAGGAACATGAAATTGTCTAACTATGACTTCTTGTTTCACAGAAATATAAATATGAGGAAACACAATAATCATCCCCTAATCATCCATCACAATGAGTAAAACCAAAGAATGTAGTTCTGATGTGCAGCAAAACATTGTTGAGCTGTGGCTGTAAGAAAATAGCTACAGTAAAGCATTGAAAAATCCCATTTCCACCATCAGAGCAATAATTAAGAAAGTTCCAATCAACTAAAGATCTTACGAATCTAGCTGTAAGAGGACATGTGTCTATATTATCTTAATGCACGGTCAGGAGGAAAGTTTGGACTCTCCAAGGATCACAGATGGAGAATTGCAGTGATTAGTTGAGTATTGGAGTCAGAAAGCCTAAAAAAAAATCAAACAGTCCTATACATCACCACAATGTTTGGGAGGGTTTCAAGAAAAATCCTCCTAACTCCTCCAAAAACAAACTCCAGCATATTCAGTTGTCAGACACGGCTGGAACTTCAAAAAGGGACAAGATTCTAATTCAATGGTCAGATGAAACTAAAAAAGAAAAAAGATATTTTTGGCAGCAAACCCACCAGATAGGTTTGGTGCAAACAGGGATAAAAGGTACACCATGCCCACGGTTAAATACTGCTGGATCTTTAATGTTATGGGACTATATTTTTTTCTGGAGGTCCTGGACATCTTGTTCAGACACATGGTATCATGGATTCTAGCAAATACCAACAGATGAAAAATGAAAACCTTACGGCCTCTGCTAGATATTTTATAATGGGCCGTGGTTGGATCTTCCATCAGGACAACGTTCCAAAACAAACATCAAAATGAGCACAAAATGAAGCTTCTTGCCATGACTACCCTAGTTCCCTGACCTGGACCCTATAGAAAATGGTGAACTGAAGAGAAGAAGCACCAACATGCATGGAGCTGGGGATTCTGTATAGAGGAATGGTCTCTGGTCTCTTGTTAGGTGTTCTCCAAACTCCGCTCATCTGTTTATGACTGGTTGACACTGGGGTGTAGCTCTATTTATGCTGATGTGAGTTATATTGACAAAAGAATCTTGTTGATGAAAAACACTGAAGATCTTCCAAAAGATGCTTGGGCCGAACACCCTCTGGCCTCTCTGCAAGGGACCACATCATTTAAATGATGCTTCTTTGCAGGCTAGCTGTGAGTCCCTCTGAGTTAAAGCCTATGCTGGGCTCTCAAGAGGAATGAGTTAGAAATAAAACATTATTTCATCTGTTACTGAACTCTAAGTGGATTCATGTATTAGACATGCTCACTCCTCTTAGTTAGTACTGCATGCGAACTATTTGTTTTTATGTCATGACAATCTTTTATGACTTTTTTTTATGAACAAGCAGTTCTTGGCAGAATTTGACATGCATTAGAATGAATAAATGTAAAATTTATAACAATAAAATAAATACATTTTATATATTTTATTCTTAATAAATGCATCTTTTTATTCTTGATACACTCTATATTTTATCTATAAAGAATAATGATTCAATTCATGCAACAATAAATCGTGGGACTTGAAATTTAATAATTTGAAGTCATTATATATTTTAGTAGAAGTGATGCATGCATGCATGAATTTAAAAGCAACTGCTGTGTTCTTTCAGACTTTCTCCACTGGTTTGTGGAATCAACCTCAGTGGTACCAATGAGCTCCAGTTGGTCTCTGAGAAACACAGCTCCTTCCTAAACCCACATCAAAAACTCAACCAGATGTTTAATGAAGTACCAATAAATCAGCACGGTAAGAAAGCTATTCTGTATTACCTTCATTAATGCTAAAAATTGGTGAAAGGCATTCTTCACTCTGCTGGTTTTTATAGTCTCGATATTTCCGCAAACTGACAACTTGTTGGCACCAATGCTGGAATATGCATTAACTTTACAAAACGCAGCAGCGTTAGTCAGCAAAGTAAGTCTGGGACAAAAACCTCGTTTCAACTGATTTTACAGCCTGTTTCAGGAAGGCCTTCATTTACGGGAACACAGAGCATTTCATGAAGAGGGTCATTGTTGCTGTTAAAGATTTATAGTTGGATTGACTTGTTTCCTATTGTCTATGTGGTTAGTTTATAATAACAAGTGGCAATGATTAAAATCTGGCTCTGTTAAATCAGTGTTCAACGACAGCTCAAAAACCACTAAATTAGATAATTTAATCGGATCCATGTGCATGTTAAGATCCATTTGTAAACAAAATGTGAGTTTTTAGGATGCTTCATAAATCCTTTAATTAAATATTGAGGTGATTTAATTGAAAAAATATGTTTGTCCTTTTTTATTGGTGAAATGTAAACTACTATGTAAAAAAATTCGGTAACACTTTACTTGAAGGGGTGTGCATAAGACTGACATGACACCTTCATAATCATGACATGACACAAGTCATGAATATGATGGAGGTTTTATGCATGTTTATGACAACTGTCATTAAGTGTCATTCAAGTCAAGTCATCCTCATTTATATAGCGCTTTTAACAATGTAGATTGTTTCAAAGCAGCTTTACAGAGATAAACATATAATTTAAGGTAACAGAGATTGGTTTGGTTTTATAAAGGTTCTTGAATAATGTTATTTTCCAGATAAAGTTAGTTTTGATTGATTCACTTCCGTCGAAATGAATTCGCTCAATTTATGACATTTTTAATGCAAAGATGACATTGTTTGAGATGTCTTTGTTATGACAACTTGACATAAACCAGTACATCATAACCTGTCATAAACATGACATAGCAGATTAATTATCAAACTTAAGAAAGCACTTAGCTTTATGGGTTAACTTTACATTAAACTGTCATGTGGTTGGTTTTGACATTGGCTGTCATGAGGCATTATAACTGTGTCATGAATATGTTTCTTGACCTCAACTACAGTGCACACATTGAATTTGTCATTAAAATGTTATAATGGCCTCATGACAGCCAATGTCAAAACCAACCACATGACAGTTTAATGTAATGTTAACCCATAAAGCTAAGTGCTTTCTTAAGTTTGATAATTAATCTGCTATGTCATGTTTATGACATATAGCAGGTTGTGTTGTCTTAGTAATGTCAAGGTGTCATAACAAAGACACTGACAGGTTATGATGTATTGGTTTATGTCAAGGTGTCATAACAAAGACATCTCAAACAATGTCATATTTGCATTAAAAATGTCATAATTGAGCGAATGACACCTAATGACAGTTGTCATAAACATAAACATGCATAAACCCTCCTTCATATTCATGACTTGTGTCATGTCATGATTATGAAGGTGTCATGTCAGTCTTATGCACACCCCTTCAAGTAAGTGTTACCAAAAATTCTGTACTAATTCTGTACTTTCTGTGTCTTTGTCTAGTTTTTCAGGCCACTGTTAATCATGTTGAGCAGATTTCCAGTAATGAAAGAGACGATCTGCATAATTTTGACGAAAATGGATTTCCTTTTACTTGTATAAACTCCTCTGGTAAGTGTCAGTTGCAGTCAGCTCCTAACCTTCATCTCTGGTTCAGTTCTTCAAACCTCCCTCTTTGTTGACAGGCTACAGCCTAACTCAGGACATACGGTAGGTGAGTGGGAATCGCCCCTGCTCACTGTCCTGCTCCGGTCGGGATCTATATGAACACTACCACGGTCAGATCGGCTCGCTATAGACTTGAGACACACATTTGACCCACTGCACCTGCAGAGCTGAGAGATTCCTTGAGCATTGAGTCAGAAAAAAAAAGAAACTCCTTGGCTTGGTCACTGGTGATGATGAAGATGATGATGATGATGATGCAGCCTTTTGCTTTGATGCTGAACAGACACTGTAATTTTCTGAGTGTGCACAGAGAATGTTAGGAGATATGCTGTTTACATTGAGTTGGTAACATGACACATTCTTTATATAATGTTTTGCTGTATTTTTAAACATTAGTTTCATGTGTGATGCCAGTATCACATCATATGGTGAATCATTAATTCTTTTTCAAATAAATCACAGAGAGAGAGAAAAAAATATCTGTCTGTCTGTCTTTCGTTCAACCTGTCGTTCTGTCGGTCGGTCATTCAACCTGTCTTTCGTTCTGTCTGTCCATCTATCTATCAATCTATCCGGATCGTTTCAGGTGTTTGACCATGCTCGTCCGCAGCTCCGCAGGCTAACAGAAGGAAGGCCTAGTAGAATGCTTCCATCTTGTGGTTAACTCGAATATAACTTCCAAAAATGTCGTCCTCCTTTTACTCGAATTGTAGTTTAAAATAAGTTGGCCAGATTTCGGAAATGTAAACTGGGGTCATAGTTCATTGGTAAAAAAAAAAAAAAAACTCATTTAAATCTCATTTATATTAGGCTATAGCTAATGAATAACAGGGACAATACATATCTTGGCGGGGGCACAAAGTTATGCAAAATTAATACTTATATAATGATTGTCATTCTATTATTATAATTACAGCAATTATAGCTTTTTCTTTAGCTTTTCAAATTCTGTTTGTGCTTTGGAAATGGATTTTCATCGGTTATTTTGTAGATGTGCTTTCTGCAAATTAATTGTTTCATAATTGAGCGGGCTTTTGCAGTGTAGCTATTTGCCGGTTGTTTTGAACGTGCTGTAAAAACGGGGACATTTTCGGGGACAGATCTTAGTCGGACAGAACTCCAAAAACCGGGACTGTTCCCGGAAAACAAAATAACAGACGGTCTGATCACCCAATCAACTCTTTGGGTATTTATATTATTCTTATATTATTCTAAAGTTGATTCTAAAGTTCAGCTCTTGGTAGGACATTTTATATAAAAGAATCAATATAAAGTATTACCATTCTGATTTTACAGAAAGAGGCAAAGAGCGCGAGCAGCGTGTTGTTGCTATGGTTACCACATCAGGCGAACGCAATTTCTCGCTAACGTTAGCTTAGCACACACTTTTATGGTTTGTGGACTTTTACCCAACTCTTGTGGTTACTGAAACGTTGTTTGAAATGCTCTTGAAACGAATATAGTGTCATGTAAAAGGATAGGCCGTTTTAAGAGCCCCACCCCCCTCCAAACACCCCTCAAACTCAGACCCACATGAAGCAACTGAGGGAAGTCTGCCCTGCCAGGTACGTTTCCCTCTCGCTGTGTTCACTCACTCACACACTTTCCTCTGCATCACACACACAGGAAGCAGAATTTCCACATTCCAGCCGGTGTTGTGTGGATCAGGAGGACACACCCAGCGCTCTCACACACACACACACACACACTGACTGTAGAGACGCGATGGGACATACTGCTGCTCTAGCGCTCATTTTAATGAATGACAGTTAGCAGTATACCAACAGCTCACAATCATGACAAGTGAAGGTAAGCGTCACTTTTAACGCTTTACTGTTGCTTACTATTGCACGCATATATTTGCGCGAGTTGATTTTTAGTAAAGTTAGAATTGCTCCGGGAATATACAGTGGTGGACATAGAGAGGTTGGTTTGTGTTCAATAAAAAAATAAATGTATTAATTAGAAATGTCTTATGTTGACCACTTCTGCTTTGCGGACATAATTTTTATTGTGTTTTGTATTGACTTGTTGCTGTTTTATCAGTGTTAGTCAGACACATTGTGAAGTTGCGCTTGAGTAAAAGATCCGCTATCTGAGAGGAAAGTGCTGGACTGGGTGTAACAGCGCGCATTGTTCTGCCATGAGATCATGTAGGATAGGTAGGAATATATATCTCATCGCTTTAATGCATTCGTTCACACATTAGTAAGAAACCTTTCACCATGCATGTCATATGTAACAAGATGCCCTCTTTTAATAATTGGAACAAACCTTGCGCTCCAAATAGGCCTGTACCTTTAACCTCACAGAATTGATCTCCCTTGTACAACATTGATAACTCAATCAGTCACAATAACGGTCATAATTTTAGAAAAGCAGTCGATGTTTATTTATTATAGGTTGTCTCCTTTTTTCTGGCCTAAATATCAAGTTAATATTTCAAGTGAGCTCATTTTGAGGACTAGCCCAGTCACATCCATTAATATATGAAATAACAGCAGGGAAACACAAAGACCGGATTTGTTTCAACATTTAGTTTAAAAAAAGTTATCGCTGGAAGGATAGTAGTTTGCGTGTGTGTTTGGGACAGTTTATTTCTACATTGAGAACCGCCACAAGACAGACATGTTTCTGTGATGGTCCGGTTTAGGCTTACAGGATAGAAAATATCATTAGCTCAGTATAAAACAATAGTCAATAGAAAGTCTCGACCATGATAGGAAAACAAACCTGTGTGCATGTAAGTGAGAGATTAGCACTTATCTGATGCTTAGATCCAAATATAAGTGATTGTTTTGTTAGTTTGCTGAACTTAAGCCAAAAAGATTGTTTCTCTCCAATGGTATTAAGTGCTTAAAATAAAAAATAATTAGAGCACATTATGAAGGACTTAATGTGGGTTTGGACATATTATATTACATCTGCAAATCTCTCAATTGTGCTACTCTATTACCATTACTTCATTATAAGATTTACTCGTATTAGTTGATTTTCTGTATTAAATACATCTAGATTTATGATGTTTGTCATTTGTGCATGCCTTATAATTTCAGTGAGACAGAAAATCCAGGGCTGGTGTTGTGTAAGCAAATAGCTGTTGATGATATCTAAACTAAATTGAGTGTTTCAGCAGTAGTGAATGCAGGGCTGGATTGGCCTGGTTCCTCAGCCCTCGTTCCTGATGTGGATAGTCTGTGTTGTCAGGGGGTTTGCACATTCCACTTCCATTGTTTACATCAGGAAAGTCTGATGCCAGGCCTATACTTGTTGTGAGGGAACAAAAACATGTACAGTCCTCTGCACAGCATGGAAAAAGATACTGGAGTAAAGTTTTCTTAAAGATAAGATTCTGAAACTACTCATGAAAACATTTACTAATAAAAAAAAGTAGCCAATACTCTAAAAAATGCTGGGTAGTTTCAACTCAACGTTGGGTCAAATATGGACTAACTCAGCAGTTGGGTTAAAACTTTAAATGACATTTTTAACCCAACGTTTGGGTTTGTCCATATCTGACCCCAAATTGGGTTAAACCAACCCAGCATTTTTTATAGTGGTAAAAAACCTAAAAGCATTGCTTCACTAATAAAAGAAAAACATTTGCATTAATTCTTTAGGATATATTGTTACATGCAGTGATCGCTGTCAATAATCAGTGTAATCATTTATGATTGTTTCACTTCTGTTTAATGAACGTGAACAGGAAAGCACTTATTGTCTTGCACCTCAGCCATCAAAGGATGTGTGTGTGATATATTTGTTCAGTTCCCAACCAACCGTGAGCTGCATGGTTGCCAGATAAGATGTTTCTCCGTGAAGCGTGGACTCCTGATCCCAGACTCACCTCATCACCATGCCAACTCCCACACTAATGACAACAGTGCCGAAGCCCTGAGTGTTGCTATGCACATGGGATCCTCACCTCTCTGCTCAACCTGAGCAAGCAGATCCCTGGAGGTCAAGCTAGAACATAACACAAAGAGACAGAATTGGCTTGCATGGTATATTTCACTCTGAAGATGTAGCATCAGAGAGCATTAAACTGTCCTTTTTCAAGTAATGACAAAATTTGTATTCAATTTAACATTTTAAAGGTTGGGTTAAGTGGGTAAGTGCCAGAATTCTTCCAAACGAATTGAATGGCACCAGGATTTTAAATAGAGCAGAATGAAAAAAATATAATGTCAAATTAGTCAAATGCATTAATTAAATATGACACCATACATAATAGTATGATTAAATCATCCTGTTAGTTCAGTATTTCGTGAGCATTTGTACATCTCTAAAGGTATGTTTTAGATGCAGTCAATAGATTAATGTATAGGAGTGTCTGGGAAATATCCTTGGAAACCATCATTATTTTTTTGTTCATTCCATTTGGTGCCACACATGGTATAGAAATTCACTGTTTAAATATTAGAAGTTTGACATTGTGTCTAATCCTTGTTTGTTTTTCTTTTTGTAGGGCTTGTGTTTTTATGCGGGTTGGGGATTCTCCAAATGCTGTGTGTGACTGAAGGAAGCACTGGGGGATGTGGGTGTCCAGCGGCCAGCATTTTGTCTGACTTTCCATCTAAGGTACCCAATGACACATGCTGCTTGAACTACTCAGGATCCACATTCAACCAGGTGTCTTGGCCGGCTTTTTTGTCACATACACACCTGCAGGTTTTGGACCTGACTAACTGTAATATCAGTCACATTGATCACAGTGAGGTCGGTGATGCTGTCAGTTCACTGAGAGAGCTGTATCTCAGCCAGAACAGACTGACATCTCCTCCAGCTGACTTCCTCGCTAAAGCTTATAGTTTGGAAGTGCTGGATTTGGGAGTGAATCATCTGAAGGATCTGCCCGAGCGATTTCTGCAGAACTCGGACAAACTGCGAGTGCTGATCCTGGGATGGAACCAGCTGAGCGCTCTGCCTCATTCAGCGCTTAAGCCGTCGCTACAGCATCTGGAGCTCATTGGAAACCCCTGGGACTGTACATGCTCGCTGTGGAAGGGGCTTCAAGGTGGTCTGCATGACAACTCCAGCAGCCTTCAGGACCTCGTAGGTAATCTGACCTGTGCCTCTCCTCAAAATCTTGCAGGGCAGACGCTTTGGTCTTTGCAGACCAGTGACGTGTGTCATTTGCCCAATCTGACTGCTCTCTTCATCCTGCTTCCCTTGCTCCTCCTCCTCAGCTTGGTGCTGTGCTGGTGCTGTGGCAGAGAGAAGAAGAAGAACAAGAAGAAGAAAGAGACCACCTCGTTCAGCCCTACTCGCAAAAGGGCCAACAACTCCCATTGCAACGGACGGTGGCCACATGCCAAACTGCCCACTGAGGAGTCAGCAGTGTCTGTCGACAGAGGAAAGGAGGTCATGCTGAAGAACCAGCTGATGCTTCAGCCCTCGTCCACCCTGTTAGACAGCACTCGGGATATTTATGAGGAGGTGGAGGTCAAACTGGGCTCTGTGGACTCGCTGGCTCCTCCGCCGTCCACTTGCTCCACAGAAGGGACCGCGGGAAAGCAGGACCTGGACACGGTGAGTGTGAGCGAGGTGATGAAGGACTCGGCCGATCGGGAGAAGGCGTACTTGACCCAGTCCACTGAATACTACAGCCTGGTTCCTGGGATTGAAATCGAAGACTCCGATCATGGAGAGTATGAAAGTGTGGACCTCTCGTGACATTACTGGAAATGCTGCATTTGGTTGAAATACTCAGAGATACTTTTAAGTACACTAGAGTTTTGTGTCTATGAATTGAATTGGATCTCTGGTCATTACGTTGTCCATGATGTTGGTGACAAAGGAAGTCACTGCACCAGTGCGAAACCATTACTTTTGCATACAACGTGAATGAATTACTGTACTGAGAAAGTGTCAAGCGAAGCTGTTTGCAGACTCAATCAGTCTGTTGTCAAGATAAGCTATCATATAGCTGTCGCCTGGATATTTGCATTATATTGAGATTTACTACTGTAATTTAGATGGGAAGTTTTTATTATTATTGTAATATTACTTTGTTTCAAATTATATATCATATTATGAAGAGGAACAAGAGAACATTAGACAGAACCACAGTCCAGCCTCTGGTCCATATCATTAGCAATCAAATCTGCTATAGTAACTATAAATCAAAACAATGCTTTGCTAAAATTTTATGTATGATGGACCAACATTTCTCACAGAAGTATGAAGTATGAATACAGAAGTATTCACAGAATATATATAGTATGATATATATATATATGTTAAAAACAGTGACCATTTATTCAATAGTACCTTGCTTGTATCTGGCCACAGCTGATGTAATCATTATTTTTGACCTTGTTAATAATTAATTTACTCTTTGCGAGGTAAAAACGTGCATAATCAAATCAACAGAAACAGCTATACTGGTCAAATGAAGCGGCTTTCAGATAATGTCAGGCTGACTCAGCGAGTAAAATTTAACATAAGCAGATTTCAGTGGAAAGACTAAATAAAGGAAAAAGGTTGAGTAAGTACACCATAGAACAAATAACACTCAACTTTTACCTATAAAATGACTTTTTCTGTCTCATGTCCATTTTTATTGTTAACTAAAACAAACTATATATATATATATATATATATATATATAAAAAGTTTTCGTTAATTAAAATAAAGCTGAAATTAAATCAAATATAAATATCAGGTGAAACACTTAAACTTAAATGAATATTTGAAATTTGATGGAATTTTACTACACAATTGAAATTTGTAAATCTTAAAAAAAAAGGTTTACATTTTTTTGTGTATTAATGAATATTGTAAATTGTTAAAAAAACAATATTTAAATAATCTCAAATATGCCAATCTCATATTTACAAAATGGCTCAAATGGGGAAACGACAGATATTGACATGCAAAATAAACAAAACAGTTTTTGTAATCTTGGGTACACGAGTTACACTGATATATGTCATTCTGTATGATTTTAATATGAGAGCTTTTGGCATTAACAAAGAATCCTGAAAATAATAAATTGTATTTCATTCTTGGCTTTGAATAAATGCTTTTTCACATAATTGTTGTTCTGGTGTTTTTGAGACTTTTTCAGTGTTAGTTAATTGGAGTATCTATATCATTGGCTGACATTTTGAAACCATTTTTTAAGTGAAATTTGTTCATTTTACTGAGTCCTAAGGGAGCAAGTAGGAAATGAATATAGCCCTTCCAGAGTCTCACACTGGCCTTCACAAGATGCCATTTATCTGCTTCTGTGTCCCCATAATGACCCAGCCTATTCATTAGTGGCTGAAATCACTCAACAGTAATAAAAAGCTAGCTCTGATTTCCTCCTGTGTGGGAGTTTGTAATTATAGCATTGGGTTACTCAGTCCCAGTAAAACCTGCAGCGCTCTAATGGCATCTATACCTGCCCTGCTGCATTTTGTGTGAATCTCTATTTTGAAAGAAACACTCAAGATTATACCTCTGAGAACAAAAGCTTCTTTTATTTAGAAGCATGATTTTATTTAAACCATCATTGCAATTATGACCATACCATAATACAATTTATAATTGCTTAACAAACTACTTGTAATAGTGTTACAAAGACAGTTCATTAGTTATTACCGAAAGGGTCATATTTCACACACAAAAAAAATAAAGAAATAAAATAAGCAAACTAAGATGCCTCTTCAAAATAGATGTTTGTTTGAATAATGAAAATGCATGTAATGTTCCTTTAAGAGCAAACATTTTTCATCAATTACAGGTTTCAATTACAGGCCTACTGTCTTGATGTATCTATTTTACATTTAAAGGAACTAAAAGGAACGTTTATCATGATTCTTCTCGCCTTAATAAATGTATCTGATCAAGCGTCTGCTGTATTTAACTAGGGAGGAAATGTGTGTTCTGCGAATGAAGTGAACTGGAATCTCCAGCGCTGTGATGGGTCTCCCTCAGTGTACTTTCTTTCTCTTAGTGTCTAGCGCCCCCTAGTGTTGGTCACCCCTCACACCCAGTGCATCAGCTGATCGTCTAAACAAGCGCATTCTCTGTGGAAATAGTTTGAAACATAGAATTTAAGAAGAATTTAAAGATGAATTTATTTGATATTTTAACTGTTTAAAAAGCATTTCAAATGTAAAATTTACATCTGCATGACAAATGTTATCTGTGTAACGTTTAACGTTTTTAAATAAATAAATAAAATTTGAGCAGCAGAGGCTTCGTGCAGCTTAATTTTAAGCCTTTTGAACCTTTATTGTTCAAGAACATCTTTAATAGTATCAATGGGAAAAGTCTAATAAAGACTACAAAAGAAGAAATAGGATATAACCCAATTGAGTTGACTAATAAGTTCTCTCTCAGGATGTTTGGATATGGATGTAAAGCACTACTGGTTTTAAAATCACTGTTCTTTTGGGTGTGTTTGTCGATGAGCACTGAGCAGTTCACACGAGAATGGTTTTACAGCAGTGACATAAAAGAGGATTTATAACTTAAGTAAATATTGCCTTTCAGAGAATTCAGGTTTTATATGCTGTAACTAAGAATTCCTATTATTTTATACTTGCTGTTTAACATGCACCAGAGAACAGTGGGATTCCCAACAATTCTCCCCAGACATGGAGTTTGAGGCTTGCATAAGCTTTTTTTTTGGTTCTTACTAAAAAACTATTATAAACAAAGAACAACATTTTGATCAAAAGATAATGTAGCAAATGAATAATCAAGTGATAAATACCTAGTCATAAATTTGACCTTTACTGTGTGTATAATGATGAGACCTGTGTGAAACTGACATTGACCACAAACATGTTCTTTTAAACTGGGTTCCCAAACCATAAATCACAAGATGGATTGATAGGTCCACATTAAAGACAGATATAAAGGTGAAAGCAAGAGGTGTGTGTTTTTTTCTCCGAAAGAAGACGGGCTTGAAAAGAGCTTGAGGTAAGAAAAAAAAAAAAAAAAGACTGTTCCAGTGACAGGACTGATGACTTCTAAATTCCTTGGGTTTTCCCTAGAATTCCACCATGACGGTGTCCTACACGCTAAAGGTGGCCGATGCTAAGTTTGGAGGCTTCTCAAAGTTGCTCTTCCGATGGAAAGGAAGCATTTACAAGCTTATATACAGAGAATTCGTGGTCTTCTGCCTACTCTACAGCTTCATCAGTGTTATATACAGGTATTGTGACATTTCCAAACATTCTGATAATCCACATTTACAATAATCGATCATAAGAAGGTGATCAGTCTATGTGGCATCTTACAGGTGTGTCCTCAATATCGAACAACAGGAGATGTTTGAGCGACTTGCACGTCATTGCAACAAGTTTGCTAAACTCATCCCTATGTCATTTGTTCTTGGTGAGCATAAAAGATCTGACCATAGCAACATGACATTACTTACTCCTTGGATTCCTTGTAACAAGTTGAACTGGTCTGTGGTCCTTGTTAGGGTTCTATGTCACACAGGCGTTTCAACGCTGGTGGGGTCAATACACAAGCTTTCCCCTGCCAGATAACCTGATGATGGTGGTATCTGGGAATGTCCATGGCACAGATGAAAGAGGCCGTCTGCTGAGGAGAACTCTGATGAGATACGCAAACCTGTCATCGGTCCTCATTCTGCGCTCCATCAGTACACGAGTACGCAAGAGATTCCCAACCCTGGAGGACATTGTGGAGGCAGGTAAGATCTAAATTCGCATCTGATAATGTTTTGGAGGAATTTGAATATTAGTACTTTTAAGGTGTTTTCCATATCTTCATCATAACGACGAATGAAGTGAACAGCATTGTTTGTATACGGTGCAGGGGTTTTCAAACTGGGGTTCGGGGACCCGCGAGGAAGTGCTAAAGTTTAGAGTAAAAGTCAGTGGAAAAAGTTTAGAGAAAAACATTGTACCAATAAAAAAATATTAAAATTAATAATTAAAAAGAATTAGATAAATAATTAATTAATAATTAATTAATTGAAATAAATACAAAAGATTCAAATAAATATTACATATTAGATTAATCAAATCAAATCAGGTTTATTTATATAGCACAATTCATCCATCAAAGCAATTCAATGCGCTTTACAATGAAAAATAATTTAACATCATAATAAAAATACAAGATACAAGCAGACACAAGAAAGATTTAAAACAATAAGATAGAAATGCATAAAAAACTGTAATTCTGAACAGTATAGCTAGGTTTAAGAGCTCAGTCATATAGTCAATTAGTCATACTATTGAATAGATTATTTTAAGATAAATAAATACATAATTAAAATTAGGTTCAAATAAGAAAATAATACAAATGTGATTTAAATAGATAATAAATAAAACAGTTAACAGTACAGTACTAGAGTAAGTAAAACCTAATTTAACTGAACAGATATAAAATATTTTCCAAAAATTTCTTTAAATTGGTCTTTATCCGTGAACATATATAGTTCCTTTTTGAATTTTATGGGTGTCCCTTGCAAGGATGATCTTTTTTGGTGGGTGGTCTCATGGCCTCTAAAAGATTGAAATCATCTTATTATTATTATCTATTTTGCAGGATTCATGACTGCAGAGGAGCTCAAGAAACTAAACCATCTGTACTCTGACTTTAACAAATACTGGATGCCACTTGCATGGTTTGCAAACCTGGCTTCACACGCGAGAAAAGAAGGGCGTGTGAAAGATGATATAGCCTTGCGACTGCTTATGGATGTAAGTGTGTTTAAACATGTCAAGATAATGCATATGCACAATAAAAGCACACTAATTTGTTATACTTTCTTCCTCTTTGTCAGGAGCTGAACAACTATAGGTCGAAATGCAGCATGCTCTTCCACTATGACTGGATCAGCATTCCCTTGGTCTACACACAGGTGAAGCTCATCTCATAGATCTTCATGGGTGTAGCTTACAGTATTCACCTCAGGTCATCTCACTTCTGTTTGGATGCAGGTAGTGACCGTGGCTGTCTACTCCTTCTTTACATTTTGCTTAATTGGGCGGCAGTTTGTGAAACCTGAGAAACCTGAGGAGAAGGTTGTGGACTTGTACGTCCCGATTTTCACCCTACTGGAGTTCTTCTTTTACGCGGGCTGGTTAAAGGTACGATGGGTAGCATGCAAATAGCAAATTTATTTTCTACAAAACTGATTCAATTTCTCTAAAATCGAGGGTGCATTCATTCCTAAAGGTAGGCGAACTTATCATCAACCCATTTGGAGAAGACGACGATGATTTTGAAACCAACCAACTCATAGATAGAAACATTCAGGTCAGTAAATTGATAAATACCCTACTGCATTTCAAAGGACGCATGTTTGATCATAACCACTAATGGAAATGTTAATTCTATCTAGGTTTCTATGCTAGCTGTAGATGACATGCATCAAAATCTTCCTCCCCTTGAGAAGGACAAATACTGGGTGGATAAGGGTCCTTCATATCCATTAGCTACTATGAAACCTGTCTTCATGGGTTCTACACATGACATGAGGTGGAGAACTGAAACCTATTTATAATTCATAAATACTTCAAATTTGTAAATATCAAACGGGCAGAATTGTATGTAGGGAGAAACATAAAAAAATAGGTGTTTTTCCAAAAGCCAACTCTCCCTATCATTATTCCAATCACGTGAAGTCGGTTGGTCACTTAACTTGCTATGGAATAATCAAACGCATTGCCAAGTTGTTTAACTGTAAATGTTATCTGTTGTCAAACACAATAAATTAGTAGGTTCTTGGTGATTAAATAAAGTCGTGTTAAACAAAAACAGGTTCTGAAGAGCAGCTCTCAGCAACTGGAAACTGATATATGATATGAAACCTTCTGTTGTCAGTATTTATGCATCAAATCCTTGAAAATGCGATTTACTCACAAAAGTCTTCTCGCATTATTGACTGTTGTAATTCTGTATTTATTAGGATACTTGAGGATGATAATGAGGAATCTGTACCAACCCCCAAGACACAAATGCTTGCCATCAACGTGTGGCCGACTACACACAAAGTAAAAAAGCAGAAGAGCAAGAGCTTGCAGCAGTCATGTCTTTGCTGCAGATCTACATGTAAGGGAGAGCGCTTTAGACATGATCAGCCTTCCAAGACCTTCCAATCACCACAGCAGCAACAAACCATGACCATTCAACATGTCTGCCAGGAAAAACTCTTGGGGTCACCTGAAACTACAGGACCAGCAAACCTAGACCCATAGATAAATGTGCCACTTCCCACTCAGATTTGACTTGTCACGTATTATGTACTTGCTACAATATTTGAACCCTCATCCCTTCTTGTACTTTTGACAAATGTACACTACTGTTCAAAAGTTCTAGGTCAGTAAGAGTTTTTAAAAGAATCAATAATTCGTTTATTCATCAATGATGCATTAAATTGTATAAAAGTATCAGTAGAGATGTGTTAGAACGAACACATTTTCACTAAAATATCAAGCAGCACAATCTTTCACCATTGATAAAAATATTTCTTGGGCACCATTAATGGTGAAAATTCAGCTTCGACATCACAGGCAAATTACACATCGAAAAGTTATTTTAAATTGTAATGATCAGCCTTGCAGTGAGCATAAATGACTTAATTGAAAAACAACTTTTAAAACCCTTACGTTTTAACTTTCTTGACTTTTCCAGTGATTAAAAAACTTTTTTTATCAATGTAAATTTATAAAGCCTCTACCCAGACAGCAACGGTGTCTGCCCAGATCCAGCAGATTCCACACATACGAGATGTGGGCCGACAATGTTGCTGCCTGGTCGTTAATTACAGTTTCAAATTTTAAATGTCTAAATTAACATTAACCTAGATAAATGTATTTTCAATTGTAAAAGTTGGGTAGTTCTCACTTGAATTTAGAATATTTTGAAGATCTAATATATAAAAAAAATAATTAGAAGTTTGACTCTGAAAGGCCTGCCAATCACAGTATGTATTTGGTAGACTGATCAATTTGGATTATCAAGAAATGTACACAAGTATTGCAAAGACTACTTTCAAACAGTAAATTAAAGAACACTTTCAACACTTGTGGTTTTTCTAGGAGTTTACAACCAGTTAATGCAGTACAAGGCCAGCTGCTTAACTTTCTCAATCCTCCTTTCAATATGTGTGCAAGAGCAGAGTCATTTTACTTGCCATGCAATAATTTGTTTCTGGTGTATATTGACAAGATATCATTAGGGACTGAGTCTCCTCTTGGCAAAGACAACAAAACTTTGTGTTGCATGAAATGAAAACAGCAGAAACATGCAGAGTTGGGGAATTTTCTTTAATGGTCGTATCAAACAGAGCTGTACATTTATTTGCCTTTCTTGGCTTTAATCTTCCTCAGGTAAAACTCCAGTTCTTTGCCCTCGATGATGTAGCCATCGGCCCTGCCACACTGTCCTGGTCTGGAGGCAATGCAGGCTGGAGAGAAACAAGCTTAGGTTAAACACTTAAACTGAAGGGTAGTGTTGCTACAGGCAACTTATTTCAATAGGTATCAGAAATGGTATAAACCTCAGCACTGTAGTCTCAGTAGCAGAACTGGTTAAAGTTTCATCATGATCACACATCAGTATCACTTGAAGACCTTTTAACACAACTCACCAAGAAGCTTCCCCTGCAGGAACTGCTCCTCCAACAGAGGACTGATTTTGCTGGTCTTTCTGCGCACGTCAAACTTCTTTTGGACCTTTTTCGACCTCTTTTTGTTCAGGATCTCCTCTTCCTCGGGGGTCTGGATTGACAAATCAAATACAATTAGAATTATGCTGATACGTTGAGCATTAATATTAAAGAGGGTTTATGAACTACAAGCCTTCCTCAGAATCTTAAACTGCATCACTCTCTTTCAGTAGCAGAACTGACAAATGTTATCATCAAAGAAAGACCATCTCTTAAACTGAATTAGGAAATTTGACTGGATTTACCAGCTTGGCACCCTTCTTCCTGCCAAGTGGGAGGGCGTAGTGAGACTCAAACCACTGTCTGTAAGGAGTGCTGTCCACAAGGACCACGCAGTTCTTCACCAGGGTCTTGGTTCTCACCAGCTCATTGTTAGAGGCGTTGTAGACCACATCAATGATCCTGGTCTTGCGGGTACAGCCTAAAAATGTCATTAATACATTAAAACAGCCTGAAACTAAACATCCAACAAACACATGAAACATCAGGCTGAACGTATCTTTCTCAGAGTTAGAACAATGTTATCCATCATGAACATTCAGTAGCAGAACTGGACAGTTTATCTTCATTGAAAGAGCTACACCCGTTTAAGCAGCACCACACGCTTTTAAACTTACATTCTGAGCCCCATGAGAAGTTGCCCACATCAAGCCTCAAGGCACGGTATTTCTTGTTTCCACCACGGACTCTTATTGTGTGAATGCGGCGAGGTCCAATCTACGAAGAGGCACAAAAATGTGTTGAAATAAAAGTAACAAAGATCCGTGAAAACATACTTTGACTTTGGCTATGTGTCAGAGTAACTATGACTAATCCTAACATCGGGAGGTCAAAGACTTTGACCAAAACGGCCAAAAATGACCAACCTAAGGACGTGTTTTCATCATCCACATTGGCATGAAGAGATACTTTCTGATAACACATTTAAGCTAGGTTTACCTTGGTGTTTGCAGGAGGACGCCCGAGCTCATATTTCCTTTTCTTGTGGACGGGCTTGCGTTTGCCACCGGTTTTACGGCGTTTGTGCCAGTTGTCCCTTGAGATACCTTAAGTGGAAATAGATTAAATGCATTACAAACAAATTAAAGAAATCAGAATGAACTTCTATCGCACGCATGAGTGTTCAGTTCTCCAAGGTGTTATCCGCATGAAAAATCGGATTCAGCAATTGGGTTCATCATGTACACTCACGTTTAAAAGTAAAACTAAAACAGAAATTGAATTTTTAAATTACGCACCCTCATGCCGTTCCACACCTGTATGACTTTCTTCACAGAACACAACTCAGTCATCCTGCCTAAAATCTCCGTTCGTGCTCTATGGAAGAAAGTCATACAGGCTTGTAACAACGTAGAAGACGGTTTCATTTTTTGTTTAACTGCACCATTTAAGAGCAAAATCTTGTGTAAATCACAAAAACGGCAGTCAAAAGGCTCACATTAGCAATAAGCTAACAGTTTGGACAGCTCTAACTTAACGATCCACCACAATAACACATTAGTAAAAGCTGCACCCCATTTAAGACGAGCAATATGAAGCAAACGATAGCTAGTTAACATTTACAAACTAACGTTACCCAAATCTAACTTTCAGCTCACGTTAGATGACCATGCAGCCTCCAGTGGTTGACACATGCATCTTCTGACCGTTTAGCCTGTCGTGTTAACTGGTTTCTCAACTAAATGTTAGTTCTCAAAAACGAAGATCCTTTATCTAGGAATAAATCCGCATTGTACAAGTCTCGGCATAGAACTACAGCCTTAACTAAACTCTAAACCCGGGTTGAGAGCATATTCCGAATGAGCGCAGCCATCTTGTGCAATGGCTCCAGTCACTTTCCTATCTTTTCTCGTTAAAATGTCTGAAAAAAAGCATTGCATCGTCTAATTTGCGCCTATATTGCTTGAAATCTACCTTTGTGATTTAGCACAGAACGAGTTTAAACAAAAGCATCATCGGATAGATCAGATGATGACGGATTGTCCCAGCGACGAGAATCTGAAAACACGTACCCATTCTCAGGCGCCGGCTAGAAAGAGGGTTAGCAAAGGCTCATGGGCGGGTTTCAAGCAAACACATATCGCGAGAATTACTGGAGAAATCGCGAGAGTAGCTCTTTGGGTTCAGTGGAAAACACTTGACTGCCACCACGCGTTAGTAGGTCATAACTCCGAGCGTTTCCAGTGTTTTTTTTTATACATAGAAACAATAATTTATAACCATGCTCTACATATTTAGTTTTCTCACTAATTTGCTGCACTCAAGGTAATAGAACTACTGGATTTATGCAGTGAATCAGGCGTGCAACATGGTGTAATACTATTTCGCTAAATCATCTGTTTTACTTCTACCCTACATGAAAGTTTATTTTATTTAAAAAATTGTTACAATAATTTTATTGAACACATTGGAAACAACATTAAGATATAATGTTGTTTCCAATGTGTTCAATAAAATTACTGTAACAATTTGCATTCGAACAGTAGGATTAGGTGCAAAAAAATAAAACAAAAGGCACGGGCTTTTCTTGTAAATCCTATTCTACCAAAAAATTTTTTTTTATTTTGTACAATAAATAAACTCATTGTGAAATATACCAAACCTAGGTTTCACTCTCAAGTATTTATATTTGTGTATATAAAAATATTTGTATGTATATTTATGTTATTTATATAGTATATTTATAGTCGTCTCTGTTTTTGCAAACAATCATAAGCAATGTTCTTTTGAGAAGAGTAGCCTACATGAAAATATGTCAGTAACTGATGTCTGGACTTGAAGAAACAACATTCACTTTACTAAACATTGATGACTTTAACTTTAAACACTGGTGACTTTTAGTAAATATATGGGGACACAGAGCTAATGAACAAATAGTGTCAGAATTAGGATTTTTAATAAAGTTACAAAGTTTTAGGCTTTTGAAAAATGTAAAACTAAGAAATTTGATTCTGAACTATTTCATCTTTCAAATATGACATTGCTCATGTGAGCATCTGTCAGATGTTCTGACTTCAATTGAAGCACAAGCAGTTCTGTTGGATCATGGCGTTCTTGAAGTTCATGTAGCTTCAGTGCTGCTGTCAGTAAAGCAAAAGGTGGACTTAACAAAATAAAAAATAATTTCTTCAGTTCAATATTTCAAATTGTTATACTGGTAAATATATTTTGTAAAAAATAATAATATTTATATGAAATAAGAAAATACAAAATGCTACATTGAAATTGTCATGAGTGGTCACTGTCGATTTCCCCACAATTTCAAAGTTTAATTAATAAGCTTGAAAGAACTGCAAACCAGGAGTTGTTTATAACATATTTATTTATACTGTACAGATGTAATTGGCAAAAGTGTAGACATGGTCATGTGCACGGTGCTACAGTTCATTTATGCCAAAACCCTGCTGTGTAAAATTAGTAAACATGGCAAAATCAGGTCACTCCTCCCAAGGGCTCATGTCTGTGTCGATGGCCACACAGTTATATGCAGCATAGCGAAGCTTCTCTTCACAAACTTTAGCACTGCGGATTAAACACATTTAAAATGCAGTCAAAAAAGGTAATAACTTTTTATTCAGTTATTGTGAAATCATCCAAATATTATATTACATAAACACACCTTGGGTATTTGGGTAGATAAAGGGTGCTGGAACATGTGGAAGATTGAGGAAGTGCATCTGTGGTTTCAGACCTTGAAAAAAAATGCATTTGTTTAATGTTTATTCAGATCACAACCTAAATGAACATTACCTAAATGAACATCTCTTGTTATTTTTTTTTTACTACTTACCCTTGTTTGTCTGGGAAGATGTAAATTGGAGCAGGAAGACGACTTCTGCCAGTCACAAACCTCAAAAACCTGCTACGATCCTCTGGCAAAAGTGTAAATAAAATCAACATGAATAATTTAGGTACTTCCTTTTGCAAATTACTAGAAACAGTTGTTTTACGTACGATAAGGAACCTTACTAACCATTGGTGAAGTTCATCAGGGCTTCCCATAAGTACTGCACTCTGACATCTGTTTGTTCCAAGTCTTCATAGCGTGCTGATAGAAAATAAATAAAAAACATATATAATGCAAGTAATTTAATGTAATATATATGAAAATTCCCATCACATTAACAAACATTTGATAAAATTCTAGCAAAACAAAACACTCAATTCAAATTCAATATAAAACTTGGGTCCTGAAGTAAAACTAGTTGTGAATGACTGCTGTACAGAGCTGTAATACTTTCATCCACTATTCGGTTCAGCGCCTTCGAGAATTCATGCTGAGGCAGAGAATATCAATTATTTAATGCTCATGTCAGCTGCTGTATGACTCACTGAGGCGTTTAAGGGCCTCCACTGTGATCTCTGGGTCTCCGCACACTTTCTTCTCCACTTCCTGCCATGTCAGGAGATCGAGCACAGCTTGCGGGACCACTTTCACCAGTCCTGCCTGTATCGCAGCTACCTGTAGTAGTGCAGGAACACAGCTTGGATTAAGCACAGGATTTAATGGACTGATCGAGAAATATATGCTTAGTACGTCCTCAAAAAGGATTTCGTTTTTTCTGTTAATTCCAAATGCAATAGTTTTAACAGACTTTTTTCTCACCTGTTCCCGGCTCTCTTCTAGTCTCGATTTCTGTACCAGGCGTATGAACTCCATGCGATCCTCATACCGGACCACCACTCCACTTCCTCCTGGAATCAGCTCCACCAGCCGCCCGTCACTCAGGGGTGTGGTGTACACAAGCTCCTGGCCGAACTTAAAGTCAAATGTGTCCTTGTCCATATGCTCCATAGCCTCCAACAACTTCACCTAAGGAACAACATCAAACATGTTCCATCAGTTCCACTGATTCCAGTAGTCAGCACCAAGATGCAAAGAAAAGACTGCGGGAGAGATACATGGGCTTCTTACCAGCACTGAATCTACTGCAGGAAAATCTTTCGTCCAGCTGACTGTTTCCCCAATCAGCTGCTTCCACACCAGCCCTGGCAAAGCCAGAACCTAAAGGATGAATATGATGAAATCCCCTTTTCTACCAAATGATCAAGGAAAGCTAACTTTAAATGAATACTAAGGTCCCACTGCAATTACACAACACAACTGACCAGAAAGTCTTTTCCACGAAGAGCTGCGCCCATTAGTTGCCCAATCCACTCAAACTTGTGGAATTCTCTGCATGAAGGATTTGGCACATAGAAGTCTCTGGCCTCTCCAGCTCCCTAATCCAAAAACAGTTTAATCTTTGTATAAAGAGAGGTTCATAACTACCTTGTCAGTTACATTAGAGTCAACTCCACTGCAATGGACTACAGCGGGGTAAAAAATAAATAAATACATTAATGTACAATTACAGAAAGAAAAGGACAGTGCATGCAATAACTTGTTTGTTACCTGGTTAGAGGTTCGGCTGAAGAATGGAAGTGGTACAGGGCACTCTGATGAGCTGGGACAAAGCTCTTCAGACATGTCTGCCAGGCTGTCTCGAAATCCACCGCCTGCTAGAAAGAAATCTCAGATGAGGATACTGTTTTATTTCAGACACGTGAAATAAGTTTATCACTCTATGACCTTGATCGATGATGCCTTCTGCAATGAATTTACACTCCCACCACTGGTCATATCGTGCTGGCCACCTGTAATAAAGAAAATAATAATAATAATATATATATATATATATACAGTGGTGTGAATAAGTTATTACCCCCATGCTAAAGTTGCCTAAAAAGAGGAATAAAAAAATCATCTTTTGGAAATTGATCTTAATGCCTTAATTAGAAAAATGAGGAAAAATCCAACCTTTAAGGACACCAATTTTCTTTGTGTATGAATAATGTATCATAAATAAATAAATGTTCTTCCTTAAAGGGGTGGTATAATGCCCTTTTCACAAGATGTAAAATAAATATCTGATGTCCCCAGAGTGTGTATGTGAAGTTTTAGCTCAAAATACCCCACAGATATTTTTATATAGCATGTTAAAGTTGTCACTTTTTGAGGGTTAGCAAAAACGCACCGTTTTGTGTCTGGCCCTTTAAATGCAAATGACCTGCAGCTCCCGACACAGTGGGCGGGGCTTCAAGAGTGTGTGTGTTAGCAGCTCCGATTACCTCACGCAGACACACGCTAAAATGTCCGAAACTGTTATGCCTTTTATGTTTAAACCGGAGTCAAACAAAGATGGAGAGACTAAGAAGAAGTGACAACATGTAGAATGCAACAGGACATCTCTGAATGGTTAGTTGATGAATTTATGTTGCTGATGTGGAGTTAACTATCTTCAATTAGCATATTCTGTCAGGATAATCTATAAATTGCTTGTATAGGGACTGTTGTGAGATGTACACAGAGTGACTTTCTATTGCATGTGAAAGGACGGATGCTACAGTTTGAGCTGACTCACAAATGTGCTTGACTACAACAGCTCTTCCTCTTCTCAACATGGACTGTATTCCTGGGGGCAGGGTTTATGTAAATTTTAGGGTTAGTGATGTCACTAACCCGGGAGGAAGCTCGTGTTATTCCTACCAGCCGTTTGTTGTAGTCCTTAAAAAAACGATTTCTTTAAAAGCAAATATCTCCCTTTGCTTTGAACTTTGAGCGTTGTAACTTTGCAGATGTTGTTTATGCTCAAACAGCAACATTACACACTAACTAAAGTTAGAAAACTGAAATCATAATCAACCACCCCTTTAAAATACAGGGTGCATAAGTCAGGCCCCCCCCCCCCCCCCCTATGTTAAATTCCCATAGAGTCAGGCAGATTTTTATTTTTAAAGGCCAGTTATTTCCTGGATCCAGGATAATATGCATCCTGATAAAGTTCCCTTGGCCTTTGGAATTAAAATATCCCACATCATCACATTCCCTTCACCATACCTAGAGATTGGCATGGGGTACTTTCCATAAGATCATCTTTCAATGCAAATCAAACCAGCTATTAGGCTAACTGAAATAACACCATGCCAATCTCTAGGTATGGTGAAGGGAATGTGATTATGTGGGATATTTTAATTCCAAAGGCCAAGGGAACTTTATCAGGATGCATATTATCCTGGATCCAGGAAATAACTGGCCTTTAAAAATAAAAATCTGCCTGACTCTATGGGAATTTAACATAGGGGGGGGCCTGACTTATGCACCCTG